CTCCCTCCTCTTTCTATATTTTCACGAGGGGACGAGGATGCGAGAGGTGCGGTTCGCGCACGCGTCGGTTTCTCCAACTTCCTGCCATCCTGCTTTGCTTCCGCTATTTCATATTATGTTATATGCATACGGGTCGCCACGTTGCTGACATCCTCGCCACCGGGAATCCCTATTAAGGAGACGCATCTGCGCGCGATTCGAGCGATTTTGCCGTCGTCGCTTGCTTGCGTGCGGCACCGAGACGACATGACAGACAGATGCTGGACCGAACAACCCCTTATTTGATGCTGCGGAATGAAGGGAATGTACAATACAGCCCCTCGCAGCGAGCCTGCTATCATTCGGTTGTTTCCTGAAAGTGCAATCGGAAATTTGAAACCCATACTATGAGATAAATGTTTTGTATGATATGTGACTTACAAAAACTTCCTTATACTTTTTATATAATTTAAACAACAAAATTTTTAAATTAAAAGTAAGGAAATTTTTGTAAGTAATAAATTATATAAAACATTTTTCTCAGTGCAGCACGTTTGGAAAATAAAAGAGGGTACCACAAATAATCAGTCTTGCTTTGGAGAATACAAAAAGACGTGCTTTTGTGAAACTTGTAAAAATAAAGAAGCATATTTTTTGTCTGTAAATATTAACTACAATACTTTAAATTAAGAAGCGCCATAACGGTCAGAACGTTAAGATGTTGAATTATTGTAAATTCATTTAAACGAATTAATTTCAGAAATTATAATTGCGTGCCGATATGGTTGTCGGACTTTCAACGCAATCAAATCTGAAAATATTAATAATCCCCCCAAATTTCCCAACTTAAAATTTCGCAATAAGTTTATTACAGTTTTTAAGTTGGGAAATTTGGGGGGATTATTAATATTTTCAGATTTGATTGCGTTGAAAGTCATATCGACAACCATATCGGCACGCAATTATAATTTCTGAAATTAATTCGTTTAAATGAATTTACAATAGTTCAACATCTTATAACGTTCTGACCGTTATGGCGCTTCTTAATTTAAAGTATTGTAGTTAACATCAGCGGTCTTTCAATCTTATTATTGTAAATATTAAATCCTATTTTCATGCTAAGTTTAGAGAGAGAAAAACGCCGAGTAAATTGTTCATTGTGTATTTTTCTGAGCGTTCTCCAAAACGTATCGCCGGTTGGATTTTAAGTTCCGTGAAGGCGGTGAGTGAGCTACCGAGGCGTGTTTCCGTTTCCTCGAGGCTATGGCCAGATTCGCGAGGCTTCACGTTTGCCTCCGCGAGATCGCAGAGGGCACGTGAGCTACGTCGATTTATTGGCGTTGAAAATCTCTGGAGTAAAGGAGAGAAAAAATACTACACTTATACAAAAATATTTCGTCTCGATAAATATCAAATCAAATGTTCAAAGATATATTTAGTATTTTTGTCCAATTATTTAATCTTTAAAGGCGTGAATTTATTTTTAAAATTTTACAGCTCTTCCTTGAGTAAGATTTATTATAATGTATCGTTTCATTGTACTCTTTCACGTAAAGAACGGTTTTGATAAAATATCTAAAAATTTTGCTAGGTATAGATATGAAAATAATTTTGTTGGACTATTAAAATTATTTTCAGATCTATATCTAACAAAATGTTTAGATAATTTAACAAAACTATTCTTTCCATGTTGCTCAAATTATGACATATTTTAGCAATTAGTGACTTTTTCATCCTGTAAAAGTTAATTCGCATAAATCCAAGACATCAGATTTTGCAATAAATAGCGACAAAATACATATTTCCTTCCAAACGATGGAAAAGTCAAGTCTGTCAGATTTTTTTCCCGAAAGTATTTTCGGCAAAGGACTTTCCTTTGCGCTCGCATCCTGAAATTCACGTGACTATGTTGCGGTCAACGAGGTGTATTATTATCATCATCATGTAGCGACGCGGCGAAGAAAGAACGTGTTCGCCTCGCCCGCGCGCACGCGGCCACGCGTGTATATAAATAGCCGCATATGGGCCGCATGCGTGCGCGCGCGTGTGCAAGTAACAATGCGCGCCCGCGTACAGCGGGCATAATGAGAGACGAGCAGGGAATTAATTGAGGTGGCGATGTAAGAAGCATACTTTCGGACGTGTCTGTGGCGTCTCGTAATTATTCTCTCTTACGGAACTGCTGCGTTGTGTAATTAAATCGTTAAATCGCTCACGGGAATGAAAGGCTCGAGTTACTTGTCGCGTTCATTATGAGAGAACTGTTTATCGTATAGAAGAAATACGAAGCTGCATCTATATTTTATTATTATTTCCGACGTACAATTACGTAAAATTATCGCAACGCGAGAAATGATTGTTTCCGTGTATTTGAAACGAACGCTTCCGTATCTCGAGAAGCTCTCTGGCATCTATCTATTGTACATTATTGAATTTCGATGAATGAAGGCGGACAATTGGCGCCTGTTGCTACTGTCGCGCGTAATCGTTTATGCAAGAGAAACGGTCGAGTACGAACCAACGAAAAGGATGTGCGAAAGGAAGCCGCGGGTATATTTCCCATCCGTATGAGAGAGAGAATGCCGGCTCGTTTCCTACCCCCCGCCGTGAATGAAAATACCCGCGACATGCACACACAAGAGCGAGAAGAAATTCGCGCAGCGTGACAAACGCCTTTTCATTTCGAGAGCCGCGGTCGAGCAGATCCGTTTTAATTTGACTTTCGCGTATTTGCGCTTCTTTACTCGTACCGAGCGCGTTCGCACCTTGCAGAAAACAATAGTTGCTTTCTGTTTTCATGCAAGTGATACTGAGTCTAAAGTTACATGAGTATTTTTATACACTCAGATAATGACATCACTACTTGCTTACTTTGATGACAAAGTCATCGCGTAACAACACAAGATTATAATCTCTTTTAATGTGAGTTACAAGATTCAAGAACAAGATTCGAGAAAGCACATGGTCTCGAGCTTGTGCAGATTGTAGGTTAAAAAACTCAGTCGAATCTCACTTGTTATAATGAAAAGGAATTCAACTGAGTTATGACGTCACAAATGAGAATTATTTGAGCGTTAATGTAAATGAAAACTAATGTCGCGTCCAGTGACGTCTGACTATATCCCGTTAACCGTTGGAACAATGGCTGACAAAGTGCCACTGTGTTGTCGAGGGTCATTGTTTCACGAACAGTTATATTTCTCTCTCCTTTTTGACGCGGTTGCATAATTCTTTTATAGGCGCGAAATCGATAGGGTAGATAAAGGGCCGAAGGAATAAAGTAGCAGCGGTTTTTTTCCGGACTGTCGTAACGGCACCGTAGGTACTTCGCAAGGGTGCATAATATTGCACATCGGATGCACCTTGCGCGAATGCCGCAACCTGTCGGCGAAATTTGAGTTATCGGACGATGGGGTCTCTGTGAATACGAGTCATTTAGCGTTGTAACCGACATACAAAAGCAAACGGGGGGAGAATTGCGAACAAGGTCATCGATATGAAGGGGTTGCGCCAACCTGTATTAGCAAGTGTTTTCATTATATTCTTTTTCCTCTCCCTCCTTAATACTAATCGATTTTTATAACGAATTTGGTTAGAGTTACGCACATAAAACAAATTGACGTAAAGATAGGAATTTCATATAAATATAAAAACAAATAATCAATCTGCAAAACCTTCAATATACTTTTTTATCGTGCTGTTTAGTAAAATACTTTATATTTCGAAGTATTTGCATTTTCTTTTTACACTTAGATTAGATGAGTGTATAACAATTTTAATATACGCATAATTCGTTAAATTAAATTTGCTATTATATAATATTAGTTTCGTTTATGCTATTAAAATTTCTATCACGTCGGAAATGAAAAGCATCGAATTCTCGCGAGTATCCGTTGTATCAATTGGCGAGACTTCGATTTCATCTCGTCAACTCGATACAAATCCAATAACTCTCTCCCTTCACTCAGGCCATAATGATGTTTCTTTTCGCGCGTAAGTCGAATTCGGTGTCTCCTTCGCGCAAATTGAATTTTATCCGGCAGAAAAAGCTAGTTCATCTCTCCCGGAGATCGCGCTCTTCCCTTTTGATATATTTTCTTCTATAATGCAACCACTTTTAATTTAATCGTGATTAAAAGTCCTCTCTTATACCGATACATCATTCCTGCATCGTTTCTGAAAGTGCCCGCATGGAAATTAAATGAAATATCGGACGCAAGGGATTGAACGAATTTCGTGGTCTCCGCGCGTGACGGATTAAAGGGATATGGGTACCTGTATAAAGTTTCTTCGTATGTGACGCCGTCGTGCCACGAATATCATTTTTCTTCCCTTTTTATCTGTTATTATGTAATTTGTAGTTCGCGCGGCGATCTTGGTCCGCGTCGTCATGGGATGAGAGACGTATCTCGAATCCCATGGAAACACGATCTTCCTCTCGATACGCTTCGAGCTGCGCGCATTTCCAAGTCGGGAATCAAAACGGAGGCATTGCATATTCGATTCGGGTAGAAGTAATTTATCAATTCGTCGTGAAGTTAAAAAGTCACAGCCGCTTAATTTTTACGTTTTGTTTCCAATCGAACGATAATACTCTTAGAAGGCTGTTTTGATTGAATTATTATACGATTGGAGATTCTTTCGTTAATCATTTTCATTATGAAACGACAGTTTCGGCCATTAGAATAGAATTGTATTCCTAGAATCTCACGGGAAAAGAGAATCGTGCGAACCAACTTTGACAGCCTAGTCTAGAGGTCGTAATTAATGGAGAGGAGTCGTACTCTTCTCTTCCAGCCGCTTCGTATACCTTAACTCTGGACGGCGATATATCCCCGGTCTCGTGCATTGGGGTGGCCGGGTGCATCGTGGCCAGGTAAAGGGCAGCTGTCCACCAGGTGCCAGTCTATCCCTCCATGCACCTCCACCTCCGGGAACGGTGGGGATCCGCCCGGTTTCATTGGATGCTGGCTCGCGCGCGTTGCGGCAATACTCGCGCTCCGCGACAGAAAACAGTCAGTCGTCCCAGGGCGCTCGACGGAGCACGTAGGCGAGCTGCGATCTACGTGCTGGATCGCCCCATTCGTCACCGTGACACGCGGTCTTGTTCGCAAGTCCCTTTTCTCTCTTTCTCTGTCTTGGGTTTGAGGTTTGCGCAGTGATCGCGACGTCCACCCGTTAGACACATCGCCGAATAAACAACAATCAGAACGGGAAAGGATTACGGAGTCACGTTTGATTTTCGTATCTCGGTCGTTTTCTCCATTAGATTTTCTTCACGTTAACGTTTTCGTTTAGGGTAGTTTCACGACTTTGACGGCCGAGCGTAGTGTTGTGAAAGAGAAGCTGACAGAGTAAATCTTGTCTTCGCGATCAGTGTCCGAAAGTGCGATCGTCAGTGAGATCATCGGAATTAGATCGTTCGTATATCGATTTCGCGCCGTTTGCTCCCCTATTTCCTGTCTTCATCTACACACCTGTAGACACGGTTTTTCGCGTCTGATTCGCGAGAGCAGTACGGCCACATTTATGGGGGTGTCCGGAGAGTGTGCGATCAAGGGCAGCAAAAGCAGCCACCCCTGTCACTGCTGCGGCCACGTCGGTAGTTCCGGCGCGAGCGTGCAACAACCGCAGCCGCAGCCGCAGCAGCAGCAACAACAACAGCAATCCTGCGAACCGTACTACCATCACCACCATCAGCATCATCATCATCACCATCATCATCACCATCACGGCAAGCACGCACCGCCAAGCGCGTCGCCGCAGCACAACAACAGCGGCGACAACAACATCCTGGCACCGTTGCGCAGCAAGATGAAAGTGCTCAAGAAGCTCAAGCGCAAGATGGGTTTAGGTGAGCCACACCTCCATCACTTCCTCATTGTCTCTGATGCTTTCCGGTTACTGCTCGGCCGATCATGCGACTAATCGATCGATCACAAACGCTGCTCCGCGAAACTTGTCCGATTTTGCCGGTCAACGACATTCGGAAGGCTTCCTTCATGAATGAGGCTTGACGGAACAAAGTTTATCCAGTTAACCAACAATGTTCGGATTCACCAACTTCTGATTTTATGTATCTGTCTATTTACAGAATTTAATATTTTAAAATTTGATTGCGAAAAAGATTGACTTCCCCTATGTATACTTTCATTGATGTTTTATTGTAGAATGTTAGCTAGTGTTACATCGTGCATCATACTCCCAAGCTCTTGCCAAAGCGATCTGCATTCAAATCGTTGCTGTAAAATTGAATTCATCGAGCGTCCCAATGAATATTGCTGGAACCGAGCGGTAAACTCTCTCGTCATCGAGGAATGAATCTCCAAACTCCAAAACGACGATAGAATGAGCGGGGAAACAATTTTGGCTTTTCCCTGCGGTTCGTCGGCGGTTTATCGCGAATCCAATAATTGTTGACGACGGATCTGCTGCCTCCAACTTTTCATCATATTTTGGAAGAAGTTTAACTATACTTATTCTTAGTTTATCTATTATTATTTAGGTATTTGTATCGAGGGGCGATTTTTAACTCTAATAAAAAATTAATGTTTTATATGTTAATGGGGAAATTATTTAACTTGTAGATAGAACGAAATGATTTTGAGGAAAGAATGGACTTCCAATTCAAAATTTATTATTAGTGTCGCATGTACTAGATTTTTGCAGAGCAACCAATCAATGTGTGATAGAAAGAACGTTTTGTTGAAATCTCTAAAAATTTAGCAGTTACAAATCTGAAAATAATTTTATTTGGATCATCAAAATAATGTTGTAGGACGGCTTAAGCTGGTTGCTAGAATGTTAAAACTTTTTGCAGCATTGGCGTTAAGGTTTAAGCATTTTATAGAATTATTTTGTCCAACAAAATCATTTTCTGCAGATTTATATCTGGCTACATTAATTTCTAGATACTTCAGCAAACCCGTCCTTTTTGGATACGCGATCGATACTTGTAAGTTGGTTGCGATATAATAGAAGCTGATCGAAAAGTACTAGCTGCGAAAGGGCTTCATTTCCTACAACTGTCCTGATTTCAGAGTGTATCGTCACGCTCGTTTCCATTTCAATAAAAGCTCATTTTGTGGCGAACTTACGGCCTGAGCTGTGTTTCGTTGACCGACTTTTCCTTCAATGGACGATCCGTTGAATTCCACGAGGAAGGCGCAGCACGAAAGGATATATAGCTTCTCATTGACTTCAGCTTCTTTGCCTCGCTTCCAGCATTTCGCAGCGTTTTCATCAAGTATCCTTGTTTTGCGATTCAGTCTTTCGACGACAGTTTCTCACAAAGTAACCAGAAACTACTCGTCAACCCTTCACGGAAAAAAATAAATTGGTACAGCAAACCTATAACTTATTGCGCGAATTCGACATCTATAACTAAGAAGATTTGATGGTGTAACAAATCGCTAATGTTATTCAGCTGACTTTGCTACTTTAACATAGAAAATTGACTGTCTGTATATTACGACTGTAGATTTGTTAAATCAGTGAAGTTTTCAGATGTTTTTTTTCCGTGTTTGCGCGACTTTTATTTTCAATACTTATTGTGCTGATTGTTTTCTTTATTTTTCGCATGTTCATCATCACAAAATTTCGAGCATGATGAGAGAAATGAAAGAAACATCGCCGAAGATTTAATTCGATTGATGTGTTCGATCACAATTTTTATTGACTTAGACTCTTAGAAAAGATTAAATTGAAGTCACTTTCGGAGACGACTAATAAACGAGCAACTTTAGGTGTTAAAAATTAAAATATTATTTATACATTAAACAACATATCAATTTAATTAATTTCGTTCGACATACATTTTATGTGCAAGGATAGATTAATCGATTTTAAACTGAAGAAGACTCTATGAATCGAAACGTTTTTGTAATTAAATTTTGTATGTTGTTTAATGTATAAATAATATTTTAATTTTTAATCGTCTCCGAAAGTTACTTGTTGTTACAAATATCGAGCGTTATTTTGTTATTAAATTGTTATTTACATTTTGTTATTAAATTGAAATCTATTTAAACAATAATAATGCAAAATAATAGAAAACCGAACTAATACTCTTAATTAATGATTCATAATTATATACATATATATTATTTTTTATATAATTTATACATCTAATTAATAACATTAGTATGTATATGATAATGCTTGAAGGATATTCAAGATACTTTTTATAGGTATAGGATTCCAAGAAAATATTTTTGTTTGTGGCTATATTTTTGTTGTACATTCCGATGTAATCTGATGACCGAGATCTTTAAATGCTATTTCCCGACAGGATTTGTAATACACAGTACTTTACTATGAGACAAAGCGTCAGTTGTTGTCGATTGAAATCGAGGTTAAAGGTTACAAGTGGAATTTTACGAATGGAATGAAGTGGAGTGGAATGGAGTAAGGAAAAAGAGTGGTTTTCCTTACGTGATAAATTTTACGTGTCAACGACGTTCCTCCACCGGGAGGTTTCTGGGGACCAACGCAATGCGAGCCCTTTGTGGGAGGGCTTTGAACCGTTGAAGATTTGTAAAAGGGATACGTGCACTACTGGGATACTTTATATCAAAGAGAAATTGTTTTGAACTTATTCTTGCGTAATTTGAATTATTTATTATTATATCAACAAGTAGCATAATGACTATATTATTATAAATCTGTCCTAATTTTTAAGTTTACATAATTTTTAAAATCTGATTGGTAAAAATTTTACGCTGTACTTACATCCTTCGCGAAGTATAATATGATTTAAATAAGTAAGAAACAATATGCAATAGTTGCAGTTTTTGGCAATTATTTGGATCTCATTTTTATGATTACTGAAAAAGTTATAATTTTTTTCAAGGATAATTTTTTTCTGAAGCTTTGATCGATCAATTCTTTCTTCATTTCTTCATAATCGTACATAAGAGAAGTAGCTTTTATCTCTGTCTCTCTTTTCTCCCTCCCTTTTTTGATCAAAGAAAACTGGAGCAAACAACTCACGAAACTACTTTGAAATTTCGAAGTTGTCTCGTTGGTTGTTTTGCATGAAACATTTGGCCCAATTGATAAGTGTATTTAAATATCCTGCAGTATTTCGCTTTCGTTATTTATGTTTCTTTGGAACATATAAAAATTTTTACTTTGAGAAAAGGGATGGAGAGAGGAGTGAGAAAAAATAAATCAAGAAGAGGGATATTTCTAGCGGAATAGGACACTTTATTGCCATCATCATCGTCGCGGAATGAGTGAAACGAAGAAAGTAAGTCATCGTATTGCTTCTGGGATACTACTCTTTGCTTTTCCTTCTTTTTCTTGTTTTTTTTGCGGTTTGGTGAATCACTCATTTCTCGGTTGCAGAGATTCTCAGTCTCTTTACTTTCTCACCTCATCGCGACTCCTTTTTTTTCTCTTTCAATAGCCGCGAGATACTTCTTTCCTTCTCGCGTCTGTTATAACCAGTTTGTCTTACAATTCCATCTCGTATTCTTTCTTTTTACTCGTAATCGGGATACATTATGTTGTTCGATCATCAACAAGACGAGAGAAAAAAGATTCTTAGAGGATTCTTTCTCGCGTGCGCGCGTTCAATCGTGTGATCGAGAAGTGCCGGTCAGGACTGGACTAAAGTCGATTTACCTGTTCGAGGAAAGGATCTTTTTCCCCTTTCCGATCTGAGTCACTGAAAACGATTGGTGACGCATTAAGTTGCTGGCCGTGACGAAACGTTATTGCAATGTAAATTGCATAATGCGTTCGCGCGTGCATACAAACAATGTATCACCTGCGTCGGGTATGATTCAAGGAATTAGTTTCCCACAAGTTTCACTTTGTCATATCTATTGAAATCTTAATCTTCGGTTATTAACATACTTTCGAATCTACAATAAATATAGTTAAACCTTGATTTATTGATTTATTTAACATTTAATGAGAGAATTAATCGAAATATATTTACGTCCTTGGAATCTGAAGTCTTCTGCATGATTAAGTTTTCTTACTTATTAATTTTCTTACCTGTATATTTATTAATTTATGTTACAACGTAACTCGATGAATAAATAATTTATTAAACATACACGTACATGTACACGCGCATACGGTGTTGTTAAAGTAATTACTATCGTCTAGTCACGGATTTCTCATGGTATCTCCTCAATTACTTAGAAACAGAATGTCTTACGGTTTCTGCGTGTCTGTCGAGTCCTCTTTCCGGAATGGGTGAGCCTTGCGAGTCGTCCGAGTTGTCTCATAGAAGAAGATCCAGTCCAAGGAGCGATCACTGACCGTCCTCACTGACTCGACAATCTCGCACACCCACCCACCCACTTTCCACTTCGCCGTGTGACGTCAGAAAGCGAGCCGCGGAACCCGTCTTTGTTCCCACAAGCGTTTCGCGAACCGGTTTTGCGGTTCATGATGCCGCGTAGTGTTCCTGTCAGCTGGTCGGACCGTTTAATCGGGAATTCTCTCTCCGCCTATTTTAAAGGTTTGGCGGCCGTGTCCTTAGGAGTCAGTCCTTTCCAAGAAGCGTTCATTCATCCTTTCTTCCTGAATAAGGGCGGGAGCATAGAATCTTGCATAACGCAAATTGCATAACAAAAAAAATCAATGAAAGTCCTTCATTTCCTTCTTTTCCGCGTGAAATAATGGACTCTGATTGGTATAGATTTTTTATGCTTTAAGCATTATGCGTTATGCAAAGATCTGTGCTACGGCCTTAACGCTTGTAAATTACAGTGATAACACTGGCATGCATATGATAGGCGTATCAAAATTCATAACTGCAACATATTTACCACATTCTTATCTCAACAGGATACATGCATGTAAATAAATATATATGTAGTATATCTATATGTATAT